TTAATCTTTGTGTGGTTATGCTAGTTTTGTTTTAGAATTTGATTTGATTTTTTCTGGACTACAACATCCTGGTGTATATGTTTGATAATATTAGTGTTCTATATGCTGGATTTATTTTGAATTTTGATGTTATTTTTACTGGATTATTTCAGGCTGGGAGTGAAGAAGAGTGCTGCCCAGACTAAAAAAGAGAAGAATGCTGCCAAGGATCCAAACAAGCCTAAGAGGCCAGCAAGTGCTTTCTTCGTTTTCATGTACACATCAGAACTCTGTTCTTAAGATTTATGGTGACACTCAGCTTCGTAAATCCTGATTTAATAATGTTATTTTCGTGGCTTGGTATATTAAGGGAGGACTTCAGGAAGCAGTACAAGGAAAAGCATCCAGGCAACAAATCTGTTGCTGCTGTGAGTATTTTCTCTTGTCAGACCTGAAGCCGAGACTGATTTTGTGCTTGAAACTGGTATTTGATTGAGAGCTGTTTTCTCTTTGATTAATCAATCTATAGGTTGGCAAAGCTGGTGGTGACAAGTGGAAACACTTGACTGATGCTGTAAGTATCTGTGTTTTAGCTATTTTTAAAATGCTGTATCGAGACTTAGTGATGTTGCAGTCTTGTTTTAGTCATCGAGTTTTGTTCTATTGATATTGAATTTTGTGTTGTTTGAAATCATGAATACAGGAGAAGGCTCCTTACATCGCTAAGGCTGAGAAACGAAAGGCTGATTATGAGAAGCTAATGGACGCTTACAACAGAAAACAGGTGATGAAATATCTGCAAATTGTACATGCTTATCTTTTTTTTCCTGATTGGTTATTTGTGCTAAAGAAACTCCATATCTTCTGCTGTATAGGCTGGTGAAGCTGAGGAAGATGAGGAATCTGACAAGTCAAAGTCTGAGGTTGATGAGGAAGATGGAAGCGATGAGGTTTGTAATGGGCAATGATCAATATCTTGTTTTGTCTGTTTAACTTTAGGTCTTGTATTGATGATTTTACTTTGATTAACACAGGAAGAAGAGGATGATGACTGAAGTGCTAATGGGAGGGAGTAAATTGGTGGGGAAGCTGTGTAATACCTTAGATATTTCTCTATATGATGACTCCTTACTTTTCCCCGTTAAATACTTGGCTCTTTTTTTTAGTTTATTTTGGGGTTTCTTAGGTATGGGAAAAAGATGAATTAGATGAGAGCTATCTTTAAAGCTCAGTGGCTTATGTACTTTTTATTCTGATGCTGGTGTTGCTTAATGATAATGCAACTTTTTAGGCAATTTGTCTTTCTTTTTCTATATTTGTGTAGAGCTTATTGTTTGTTTCTATTAGAACGCTCTTTTTTTTAGTTTATTTTGGGGTTTCTTAGGTATGGGAAAAAGATGAATTAGATGAGAGCTATCTTTAAAGCTCAGTGGCTTATGTACTTTTTATTCTGATGCTGGTGTTGCTTAATGATAATGCAACTTTTTAGGCAATTTGTCTTTCTTTTTCTATATTTGTGTAGAGCTTATTGTTTGTTTCTATTAGAACGCTCTCTGGTCCCAACTTATATTTCTACGGAATATGCTGTGAGTGGACCATATGTCATCATCACATCAATATTTGGATCTATATTCTGTTATTATACCCATCTGGATAAAGTTTTGTTGTTAGCATTCAAGTTTTCTTTATCCACCTTTTCGGCAAGTGTGGAAAACGTTGCGTAATTCTCTCTTTTATATCGAAGTTTTGATGTAATGTAATTTTGTTTCTAGAGAATTGGATACCCAAACACAGTATTGTGTGTATTATTTTTACGATAAAGAGTACTTTTTATACTTATCTTTATTGATTAATATATGAATTGGTTATATTTTTGTACGGAATAACGTGGGTCCTACGGAATAATGTTTTGATAATGAAATCGAAAACAGATCCCTTATTTTAATCTTGTGGGTGGCGTTGAGAATTTCAGGTCCAGCACATTTTGTCTGCCATTAAGTCACTTTTTGCCCATACACTTTGAGTTTTGAAAATTTGAGTTCTTAAAGCTGTTTAGAAATGTATAACTATATATTTGAATTATTTTGGCATATGGGTTGAAGTTCAAAAACCTGTAAGCTGGTTTGAGTCTGTTTTTGAGATTATTAGATTTAAAAAATCTAATTAAAATTCATTGTCAGTTTTTTTAAGTTCAACATGCAAAAGCTGTTTTAGGTTTTCATTTTCATTCTCGTTACTGTGTTTATAATTAGGTGATTTGTATATAAATTGGTCAGCTTTTTTGACCAAAATGAGCTATTTTAAAAATCAATTCACCAAAATAATATGTTTTTAATTTTTTTTACAAAACTAGTATAAACGTACTTTATGGTAACGTTTTAGAATTTTTTCATTATAAAAATTCAACGGGCAAAAAGTTAACGGGTTGACGACGTTAAACACATAAATGTACCTGTGAGTAACGTGTTTGGAGAATCCAATCATGGGCCACTGACTCCAATCCTGCAAAGGCGGAGTCAAATCATTGTAGTAACGTTTTACACCTAAAATGTTACTTTGACTCCCGTTTCTTAATAATCTAATCAAGGGCCTTCGACTTCTGCAAATGTAGAATATATTTAGCTATAAAACGTTTCTCACAGTGACGTTTTACCTTAAAAACGTTGCTTTCAATTACAACACTCTGTTAAAGTCATATTCCTCAATTTTTCAAACTGACCAAAATGATTATAAATAAATGTTGTTGTAATATTTTGCATGTTCAAATATAATTCAACAAAAATTTTCCTTGTGTGGTCCATTTTAAAAATAATATTCACAACCTTTGATTTACATGCAATTGGTATTATGAAACGCGTACCTATATATATACTTTCAACAGTTCAATTTACATGCAATTGGTATTATGAAAATCTTTGATTTTATTTATATGATTTATAATGTTATATAAAAATATTAATTGGATTAACATCAATATGACAAACATTTAAATGTATCATACTCGATGAAATTTTGTGAATATTATTTTTAAAATGGACCACACAACAAAAATTTTTGCTGAATTATATTTGAACATGCAAAATATTACAACAACATTTATTTATAATCACTTTGGTCAGTTTGAAAAATTGAGGAATATGACTTTAACGGAGTGTTGTAATTGAAAGCAACGTTTTTAAGGTAAAATGTCACTGTGAGTAACGTTTTATAGCTAAATATATTCTAAATTTGCAGAAGTCGAAGGCCCGCGATTAGATTCTTAAGAAACGGAAGTCAAAGTAACATTTTAGGTGCAAAACGTTACTCATAGTAACGTTTTACAGTTGAATGATTTGACTCCGCCTTTGCAGGATTGGAGTCAGTGGCCCGTGATTGGATTCTCCAAAAACGTACTCTTGAGTAACGTTTTACACCTAAAACGTTACTCACAGTTACGTTTATGCGTTTAACGTCGTCAACCCATTAACTTTTTGTCCGTTGAATTTTTATAATGAAAATATCCTAAAACGTTACCATAAATTACGTTTATACTATTTTTATAAAAAAAATTTAAAATATATTAATTAGGTAAATTGATTTTTAAAATAGCTCATTTTGGTCAAAAACTCGCTTTGGAAAGAATCTTCTGCCCATGAAATAGAATAGAAGAGTGACTCCCTCCGTTTCACGAAGAATAATTTAATTTAACTTGACACAGAGTTTTAATAGAAGAGTGACTCCCTCCATTTCACAAAGAATAATCTAATTAACTTGATACAGAATTTAAGAAATTAAAAAAGAAGTTTAAATCTTGTGGTCCTAAAGTTAAAGTTAAATATATGAAATTGTCTTTTAATCTTGTGACTTTCAATATGCCACGTGAAAGCCCAAATTAAAATATTAAAAAAATTACTTTTCTTAAAATATACTATAAAAAAAAAAAAGAGTCCGAAGCCTAAAGGGTATAAAATATTAACAAAAATTTCAAAACGGTTTATAAAATTTTATATTAACCAAAACGGCAAAATATTACAGCGATTCTGCTTATTTTGCCGTTTTGATTAATATAAAATTTTATATACCATTTTAAAATTTTTAATAATATTTTATATCCTTTAAAATTTGAACTCAAGAAAAGAAAGTCATTCTATTTCGAATTAAGAAAATATATTTATTTAAAGTATGGATATATGATATTGTGGTGGTAAATTATCTATCATTATGAAAATTGCAACTACTGGAAGAGAGTTCTCACTGGGTTAGTTGGTTCCTGTTATGTGCCATCATTATTGGTAGATATGGTTTCATTTCTTGTTGGCTCTTAGTTCAAAATCCCATCATTAAATAATAGCATACCTAATCTAATAATCTCATTAATACTACAATTTTATAATGCAATAAGTAGGGTTTGAATATCAAGAAATAGTGCCTCGTCTTATTAATGACTCTTTCCATTTTAAAATTAAATAATTATACTCATATTTTACGCTCTTCAAGAAAAAAAAAATCAAAATATAAATTAGTCATAATTTTTTATTTTTATTTTTAATAACTTTTATGTCAAATTTATGATTAAAATAACTAAAAAAATATTAATAAATAACTAATTTCATTACTAACTAATGAAGGTAAGCTTGTAAGAACGTGCTAAAAGTACTTTTTAAAATTGAACAATTAAATTAATTTAAAAAATAAAAAATATCTCAATAATTCAATATGTAATGGAGAGTGTACTTTTTTTTTTCTTGACATTCTTATTATAAATAGTTGATTCATTAAATATTCATATCATAAAGTTAATGCATAAATTAGAATATTCTTTCTACTCCCTCGATCTACTATTAATATCCTTAATAGTTAATAAGTCTTAAGAATAAATATTTGACCAATTAAAAAAAATTAATGTTCAATTTAATTATTTCATACGTTAGATTAATTGCTCTTATCATTTCATTATTCTGCAAAATGTAATTTTGGAAAAGAAATTTCTAAAGAAACATTAAAATAGCACTAAATTAGTTTTAATTAATTTTTAACTTATATTAACATCAGAAGGTGAAATAAAGGCTAGAACCAATTTATTTGGGGTCTGGCTCGGGTTTTCCCGGTTCCGAACCGTCTATAAACCATTAATTTTCCGGTGAGGGGAAAAAACTCCGGCAAGAAAATGGCAGCTGCCGGAAAATGCTTCCTTGTAACTGGCCCTGCTGTATGCTCTCTCTCTTCCCTTTTCTATCTTCATTTTTGCCCATTTCCAATTCACTAATTCTTCTCTGTGTAGAAAAAATCTGACATTGATTGATCATTTTTTTCTTCAGGGTATTGGTAAGACAACTTTGATAGTCAGAGTACTTGAAACTCTCAGAAATTCAAATCCTAATTTGAAAGTTCAAGGGTTCTACACTCGTATGTATAATCTCTCTGTATCCCTTCTACATTATTCCGGTATATTTGGGGAATGTGTGGAGCTAGGTAGGGTTGAGGGGTTTATCGAAATGACCTTAGGCAGAATTACACTGTTTATACATGATTAAAATTACTTTTTTGTTGAACCCTTGGTCTTTTTGTGTGTTTACTTCGTATTTTGAGCCCTTGATGAAAATGCTGAATCTGCAGCTGATTTGGGAGATACCTAAGTTCTTTTGTTATATGCAAATTATCAATTTTGAAAGAATCCCAGAACCGATAAGCTTTAAATGCTGGCTTGGATTTGTGGGAAGTTCTAATTTCTTTATCTGATTTTGGTGAAGGTGAGATTAGAGAAGGAACTGAGAGGATTGGATTTGAGGTTGTGACGCTTGATGGACGTACGGGGCTTCTTGCTTCTAACAAAATCTCGAGGTAAAGCTTTCTTCTTTTCCTATACTTGGTTTGGTATTTTACTTTTGAGTGGATTGGTAATCAACCATTTGAGCTCAATAGGTGATAGATTTTTCTTGAGTAAAAGCATTTGCAAGAGAAGTGGCTGGATGTAAGAAATGCTTGATTAAATGTGTTCGGATATTCAAAGCAAATAAGCAATATGGTTAGTATGGAAAAAATTGGTACTGTTTTCTGAGGTTTAAGTATGAACGGCCAAGAGCACCATCACTAGAAGGTGATCATGTTCTTGCATAACAAACCAATGACAACAAATGGGTATAAGAAGCATTAGGAGAATATTGTCAATGATTCCTACCATTATAACCCTTGTTATTTGAGCCTTCCACCATTTGAACCTTGGATGATGGATTGTTAGAAGAAAAGTTGTGAGAGTATACAGATAGTTCTTTTTGTGTAAGAGTATTTAGCTAATAAGCAGTTTCAGGAGAGAAGTATTCCAAGGTAGTTGTTCTGATATGTGCTTAGTCAGTTACTCCTTCTGTCCCTATTTACTTGTTCATATTTCCTTTTATATCTGTCCCTATTTACTTGTTCATTTTAACAAATCAAGGAAGGACAACATTTTTTTTCCTAATATGCCCTTATTTAATTCTAGAAAATTTCTAGTACTACTAAGTTGTAATGCATGCTTTTTGGAACCAGAAATACATTTATTATACTTGTGGATATGCATAATCTTTTAAGTTAAGGATAAAATTGTAGCTAACCTATGATGATAATTGGTGCCTTAATATGTGTGTCACTTCTAAAGCGGACAACTAAATAGGGACAGAGGGAGTAGCACAGAGGCTGCCAGATTACGAATGGTGGCTGGATCAATGGCATTAAGCCCGGAACAGAAGTGTGAGAAGAGAGGGCTGATCCTTTCATAATTTATAATCACACATCTTCTGTGACTGGTTTTCAATCCTTTGAAGGTTTCACAGGCAAGTCAACAACAAGGGTTGAGAGACTAGTAGTAATCCAGTCAAGGGTGATAATGCTGTATTGAATCCATAAATATTCATTGTAAGTGGGTGATAGACATCAGGCATGAAATGGGATCATCCACCAAGAAGATGAGGTATTGACTTTTTAGTATACTGAAAAGAAATGATGTAATACCTTTTCAGTATAATGTGAAAAGCTTTTAGTGAGGTAGTTTGGGTTGGTAAATTCAATTGATGAAATCTTTGATGTTGGAAAGTTGTGCAAAGACAAGGGAAGATTGTGGGGAGTGCACTCAGTAGAGGAAGTAGTTTGGGTTGGTAAATTCAATTGATAAAAGTGATGTTGGAAAGTTGTGCAAAGACAAGGGACGATTGTGGGGAGTGCACTCAGTAGAGGAAGAAATAAAGAACCCTTGGTTTTGAGACTTTGAAATATAATGTGTCTTTAGCAGTTTCTTCTGATGAATTAATAATTTAGTGATGTGGGTAAAAACCATATTAAAAAAACTAAAAAGTGTAGAAGAAAAATGGAGAACCTAGACAAGGATATGGTGTCTTAAGGACACCTACTAACATGAATCTCATCGATGTCCAAAAGTTAATAAAAAATTGAAGGTATACTATAATTTGTACAAAGCCATAATTCAGCCCTCTAAAAGCTCTTGTATTCCTGCACTCAAGGGTGTAGCTAGTAGACAATGATGTGAGTGCAAAGCTCTCACATTCCATATGCGTAAGCCTTGATGGATAAGTTACTCGATACTTGTGCTGGTGGGGAGTAGAAGGTATCCGGTGGAATAGTCGAGGTCCTTGCAAATTGGTCCAAACACCACCACCATAAGAACTAACAAATAAGCTCTCATATTCCTTTGTCTTTGTATACACATAAGTATTAGGATGCTACTTTCCAAGCTCTACATCTGCTTCTTCTCTTTCTGAATGTTCAAGAGCTCATTGCGTCCTTCCTTTCATGATGCTTTTCTATAGCACCTATCCATAAGGTAAAGTGCTGTTGTCTCCTCCCCCCTCCATCATAATGCATTCTTTATTTTTCTACTTGTTACTTGCCTAGTAATGCTCTGTTAAAGTCCTAAAAGCATTTACTCCGACCCCTCGATACCTACTAATGGCGGATGTGGCTACAATTGATTTAGCATGTGAAATTTTGTGTCCGTAATTTTTATTCCAGGAGAAATTCTATTTGAAGTGCTTCAACTTTTAGGCTACACTTGTCAGTGTGAGAATGTGGAACATGTAATATGTCAAGGTACTTGATAGTGTACCCTTGGAGTGTGTAATTTCCAATGTTTGGCTGATCGAAATATTTTTGAAAACATTTTCTCTAGGAAAACAAGTTCCTTAAAAATGAGGAAAATGATTTCCCTAATGGAAGTTGGGTAAACTAGTTCCATAAATGACATTCCATGCTAATTATCTCCTCCCATCTACCCAATGCTCCAACTCAGGGGCGGAGCTATAGCTAACGAAGGGTGCGCAAGTGAACACCATTCTTCGGAAAGTTATACCGTACCTACGAGACAAAGTTACGATATTTTTAATATATATTTATGTTTGCACACACTTGAGTAATTATAGGAGTGGCTCAATGGTACAATGAGTGCTGGAAGTGCGAAGCGGAAGGTTGAGGGTTCGATTCTTGGTCCCTTCAAGTGTTTTTAAACATTTTTATTAGTCAAAATTCACATCAAGGAGTACTTTTTAAAATTATGCACACTCTTTATAAAATGTCTGGCTCCGCCACTGCTCCAACTCCCACTCCTTGACCATCCCACCTTGCCACCCTCAACTCCTCCCTTACACCATGTCCCCATCCCACCCATAGTGTTTTGCTAGATTACATATAGATGCTCTTGGAATGTTTTTTTTTTGCTTACTTACCAAAAAACACTAGAAAATAAGTAAGAAAGCCACTTGTTTTCCAAGAAAATATTTTCCTTTGTGCCAAACACATCCTTGATCAAGACTTTCTTAACCATTTTTGTCAAATACCTTTTCTTACCCCTCTAGTCTCATCCTATTCATTCAATCACAATATTCTAGACTGTTGCGACCTGTTTGATGCTCCTAGTGGTAGCCGTAGATAAACATTTGGAAGTTCTCTTATCCTGTGGTTGAACACATGTGCTAAGTGTAAGTGCTAACTGCTTAATGTTGTCAGCTCCTCTCATTCTTACAATCTCACACATCTTTAGGTTGATTTTTCATCCTTGAAACTACCTGTAACCACATTAGGACCTGTCTCAGGTAGGATAAATAGAGTGCCTCGGCAGTACAAATTTACAAACCATCAGGGTATTATCTGCGAACAAGAGATGGAAGCCAACTTACCATTACTCTTTGCACTTGCCGTGTAGAAACTCAATGAACCTTCTGCCACCACTCTGTCCGTTTTCAAATGAACAACAAGAGATATACTGAGTCCCTTCCTCTACCTTCTGCACATGGGCTACTCAACAGGACTGAGAACCTCACCTTCAATATACAAAACTTTATTTACTATTCTCGAAAGTCCAAAGCCATCTTTAACATCACAAAATTCCCGAAATTCTAGTTAACGTGATCGTTGACATTGTGAAGATGTTATTTGCATAGTAAACGGGATTCCCTCTGTTTTCTTTTGGTACTTGTTCTAGAAAGCTTTTCCCCATCAAGTTATCTGGAAATGCATTTCTCTGGGAAAATGGTATTTATATCCTCATTAATTATGACTCAATGTATTTCTTATTCTTTCTGCTGGTGAAAGAAATCCAACTTTGGTTATTATTTTTTTGAGAATATATCTCTTTGATATTTGCAATTTGCATATACTGCAAGAAGAAGAAATTCTTGCCCGTTATCACATAATTCCATGAGAATTTTATGAATGGAGAGTACTAATGTGATGGAGTATCTGGTGAAAGATGTGAAATTTTAATAGTATCTGTTGTTTTTAGTTGTGGGAGAAATGAGAAGACTGAATAATTAGTTGTTTATTTTTTAGTTCAATTTCTCTCTGGTGAAAGATGCGAAATTTTATTCATGTCGATAGTTCCTGATAACGTCCTCCTCAAGATCCTCTTTGGATCAAAATATACAGCGCGTGATTATGGTTGAGTTATTTTCTATGAAGTGATACAAAAATTGTCAAAAGCTATAGCCTTGTGATTTAGGTTGTTTTTAGTTTGGTTAAGCTATATGTTTAAATTATCTGACTATGTTCCCATCAATAATTGCATGATTTTGGTTTTATGCTTTCATTTATGCTGAAGCATTTTTAACCATGCAGCGCGCAGTCTCTTAGATGGCCCACCGTGGGAAGATACAGGGTAGATGTTGCATCATTTGAGTCGTTGGCATTACAAGAGTTGCAGGTCGGTTGAGTTCTTTCAGCAGGATTTTAGTGGCTCATATCCTGACATTGTTGTACTTCACTTTGAGCGGTAACTTTGACTTTGTTCAGGGCTCTTTTTTAATAACTAATCATGATTGCAAATTATAAAACATTCAATTTGTCTCATCATTACTTTAGCACATAAACAAAAGAATTTCTGATCCGTAATATATTGTATATTTCCATTTGATGGTTCATAATTTTGTTAGGTAAGGGAAGATACCGATCTCTTCATTATCGATGAAATTGGGAAGATGGAGCTCTACAGCTCCTCATTCTTTCCAGCTGTACTTAAGGTCCTTCAATCTAATATCCCACTCTTGGCTTCTATCCCCATTACAAAAGTAGGCCGAGATATACCTGGAGGTATTTCCCTATATCTATGTATTTGTTGCAAATGATTACTTAGAGCTGAGATTAGCTTGCCAGTTGATCTATGTTCATCTGTTGAAAAAGTGAGATAATAGTGTGATGCGTCTTCATCACTGTCGACAAACTCCCCTCTATCTGTATGTTTTGCGTTTGTGCAAGTCTGGACCTTAATTTTGTTGTGATCACACCAATAATCCTACATGCCAAATCCAATTCAATTACACCGGCAGTCAAGTATCTATGTACTAGGGATTTGTTGAAGAAATATTTTCTAATGTAGAATGGTATATGGGCCATATAGATTCTGTACAATGGTTTAGAGTAATACTCCCTCCGTTCCAATTTATGTGGTACTGTTTGTTTCGACACGAAGTTTAAGAAAAAAAAATAAGACTTTTGAAATATGTGCTCTAAAACACTCCTTGACCATTTGCGTGGCTAAAAATCATTTCAGCAATAGTAAAGTGAGAATTTTAAAGTTAAATTGTTTTTAATATAAAAAGTGACATCTTTTGGGACGGACTAAAAAGGAAAGAGTGTCTCATAAAATCGGGACACATGAAGTATTAAGTTGCTCTGACTCGGTGCAGGTATTCTATACATGTGCGGATCTAGAGGTAGAATTCTTCATGATCTAAGTTTTAAGATTTGGAAACAACCTCTCTACCTCCAAGAGGGGTAGAGGAAAGGTTTGGGTACACTCTACCCTCTCCAGACCCCACTTTGTGGGATTCACTAGGTATGGTGTTGGTAGGGATCCAAGTGTCAAGTAATACGGATATGGGTGTGGGGACTCACTAGCTATAAAAATATGCCTACATTATGAGACGTTATGTGGAAAACTTATATGTAGCTTTTATAATGCAGTAACTCAAATCTTTTATTCTCAAGTTGTAGGTAGCCATCTAGAAATCTACAATAGCTTTTGTCTTGAGAAATTAAAAATGCCAAATCATGACTCTAAATTTTCCTTAGTTTGTGCCTTTGTGGTCGAAGTACCTAATCTTGATTGACCAGATTTGTACGTATCCCACACGGGTCAACATGGGTGTGGACACGTGGCAACAGAAATGAAGATTTTGCCCAGTTTGGTAGTAATGTGACGTTTTGCAGAAAATGCTTATCGAACTTCTTTTACTATTTATCTTTGTTAAAGCTGGAAGCAAATGATGAAAACTCCAATTCTATGTTTGCTATTTTATGTACCTATGTAAGCTATCCTGACCATTTTGCATAATCAACTTATCACGTCTGTTTTCTTGGTCATTTTTCACAAATCTTCTATATGGTTATTTTGTTGTCTTTTATTCCCTGCTTTTGACCTCCGAACTTTCACTGTTTACTCGAGTGTTGAACTTCTAAACCAACATTCTTGTACTTATCAAAGAAAGAATAAACCAACATGGTTTTTTGATTTTTGCAGTTGCGAGGATGAAGAATCATCCAGGAGCTAGAGTTTTTACACTTGATGCAAATAACAGGGATGCGATGAGAGAACAAATATGCTCCACGTTAGCAGATGTGCTGCAAAAGCCTTAGACGTCGAAGAGCATACTCTTCCAGCTAATGTTGTAATTGCTCCTCCTGGTAAATCATTAATCTTCTTGTAACTTACCTTCATTATTTTGTTCTTCGGAGATGTCTTCCAGTAACTTACCTTCATTATTTTGTTCTTCGGAGATACACTACTCAAGAAGACAAGTCCCCTTAAAATCTCCAACACTTTGAAGACCACTTGGTGGCGTAGAATGCTCAGAACAATTGCTGAGAGAGGAATTTTGAAGACGAGAGAGGAAAAAAATGGAGCGATGTTTTTCTATAACGCGTTGCTGGTCAATTCTAACTTTTCTGAAGCTTCCTTTAATTTATTTTCTGTGTTAGTATGGTGTACTGAAAGAAGACAGTGTGCTGTTTAATTATATAGATTGTGAAAAACTGATCCAGTCCTTCCTTGAACTCCGTGCATAGCGGAAGTTTAGTATGTCAGACTATTTTTTTTTTTTTAAAAAAAACATTTGTTGTATTGAGTTCCTCCAATCATGGTTGGAAACTTGTAGCCTTCTTCGACCGCCTTGACAACCTTGATGGTTAGAAGATGACTTGAAGGACTGAAAAAGAAGAAAGAAACAACAATAACAACATGAGCAATTTGTTATATGTCAAACTTGGTTAAATTTTAAATTCACTCTTTTTGGATAACATATATAGTACCATTCTCTTTGTGGATTCTAGTCATCAAACCTTAATTTTGCATGCCACTATATATTATATTAAAAAAATAGCAAATTATAAGAGTCCAAAATAGGAATAAGTTGCATGGTAAGTTGATAGATGTGCAAAACCAACTCGATAATGAAATGGTTGAGATCTTTCCACTTTTAGTAAGAGGTTTCAAATTGAAGCACTTGAAAATAAAAAAAATCATATTGAGGGTGTCACCCCTAGAGAAGAGCCATGCAATATTGTGTGATTAATTCGAATTCAGTCGAGTCTCAGTGTGTAATCATAGAATTCCTAATTAAGAGACTGGAAAAGACAAAATGAATTCACCTTTTGATATATACATAAAATAATACTCCTTCCGTCAACTTTTAATTGTCATAATTTTTTTTTTTAATAGTTCAAAGACCTTTGAACAACGTTTTACAATATCATATTGATATGCAAAAAATTACAATAGTACTTTTCGCATATTTTTAATTTTTTTTTGATTTAAAATATCAAATTAATTATAATTTAATTCTACTTTGAAAATTAGTCAAATTAACATGAAAAGCGCAAGATGATAATTAAAAACGAATAGAGATATTTATGAGCGAAAGAAAACTTAGATGAACCTGTTGCGCCCTTAACTGGGATATGTAGATACTAAATGTGGTCCAAATTAACAGTATAACCAAATAATATACTGCTAATAAATTAACAACTTTCATTATTAAGCTCACTAAAATGTCATGTCATTAGGATTTGCATGAACGTGATACAATCCTTCTACATCATCATTTCTAATAAAGGTTCAACTTTCTGCTTAGTTTTCTAATAACAATCACAATAAAGCTATCATCACCATTTTCATGAGTTGTAACTTATAAGGTAATGCGTGGTAAAATTAAAGTGTATTTATATATTATATACTTTTTCGACGAAGAGTGTTCAACAGACTAATCTAAGAAATGTGGAGAACTCTCAAGAATATAAGTAGTTGGCATTGAATTGGATGTATTTGTTTACTTTTTCTTCACAAGTTTGAGACACTATTTGCTGCCTTCTACTTTTGTGTATGTATGACCTTTTTCTCTAGAAATGTGAAGAGAATTCTCAAGAATATAAGTGTGTGAGACCATATATGAATTTGCTATACATCACAATAAGTTCTTTGTTTTGTGATCGTGGTTGTAGGTAGTCAGAGGCGGATCCATGATTTATTAGTTTATGGATTCTGGACCACTATTCTTCGTTCGTGCTTATTAGGTATATTGTTTGATGAGAGTTGCCTCTCCAAAGTTACTGCAATTTTAACATTATGGTAAGATTGTCGGATCTTATTGACGTTGATGCAGGAGGGACGATGAGGATGTCTAAGAGACACGGGGGTAAGTGTTTTCGATCTCTAGTTGTCTATCTACATTGCTTGGACTCTTTAAATCGTTGTCAGGTGTGTATCGGATCCTCCAAAAGCTATACATTTTTTTGGAGGATCCGATATGATTGTGGCAACATTTTTGGCAAGTTCGAGTAACAGAGGTTACAAAAGGGTGTTGATTATTAAAGGAAATTACTGGACAGTAGTTTTTCACTATATATACGTGATTTGTGTAAAAAATACTGGATTCAACTTAACTGATAGGAATTGGTTGCATCAGCCTCTGGTTTATTCGAACCCTCTTTGATAAAATCATCTTTTATGTATATATATAGTAGATGTTGAATTCCGTTGGCTTCTTTGTGTGTTTACTTCTTCATATTTTGAACCCTCTTAGAAAAAATGCTGGTTCCGCCACTAGGGGATATAGTAGAAGTATTATGATACATATGTTTCTTCTGCAGGCTTAGAAGCTCCTCGAAATAGATTAGAGAAGCCAGCAGAGAGCTTCTGTGATGGAGGGGATGATATCCTGGTAATAATTTGTTATGTTATTCTAGAATTATCGCAATTCTCGTTGTATGTCTTTTCTTAGTTGATGTGAGCCTGGACAGTGAAATGAGAAACTTAATATCTTCTATACAGTTTATGCATTTAACAAGTCCAGGGTAATAAAATTTGATCCTCTATTTTGCTAACGACTCGTGAGATTAACATTTGGTACTTCTTGAGCATTTGATTCTTCTTTTCAATCATCATTGCTGTAGAGTTGCAATTTTCATTGTCATTTTGAACGTAAAATGATCACACTCGACATGGCGTATCATTTGGTTTCCTTCCCTATAGTGTTCTTGAGCTGAGCATTTGATTCTTCTGTTTTGTCAACTTTGAGGTGTTGCAGAGTTGTGATTTCCACTGTCATTTTGAACTTAAAATGATTCACAACTCGACATGTCTGTCAACTTTTACGTATCATTTGGTTTCCTTTGTTCTGTTGTTACTTCTGTTCTTGTTTTCAACACAGTTTGTTATTTCTTTGACACGTCGTGAGAATGAAATCCATCTCCGAATGAAAATTTGATACATTTGATTCTCATTTTGGTTGCGTTTTCGCGATTTAACTCACTAGTTGCTTAAATTCAGTGTACTTATCACATGACAAATGACTGGCCAGAGAAGAAGAACTGTTATGTGAAAGAGGTTCCAATGAAGAAACTGATCAGCGAAGAATTAGCTAAAAGACCAAACACAGGGCAGAATGTGCCTAGCGTTGTGGCCCGTCTGATGGGACTGGATACATTATCCGTAGATGAGGAGAGTTTGAGAGAGGTATCCTCGAGACAAACAGTTTTCGATTCCTTTGACAGACGGAGTAGGAATAGCCTGAAGTTTAACGAACTTAAACCCCGAGAACATCCACAGGAAGAGGAACTACAAAAGTTTAAGAAAGAGTTTGAAGCATACCAAGCAGCAAAGTTCAAGGAAGGCTCAAAGTTTGTTGAACTTAACACCAACACAGTTCTTTATGCGAACTCAACGAGAAAGATGGTTACTGAGAGATTTATAGATCTTAAAGGACTTGCTGCAACAGAAAATATACACGAAAGAGGTATTTCGAAGATTCAGAAAGATAAAAATGAATTTCTTGCAGCTGCACGAAATAAGACTATTCGTGCATTGAACGTTAAGTCAGGTTCTGCTCCTGCAAAGATTGTAATTTTGAGGCCTGTTTCCGACAGGACAGGGAAAAATGAAGAATCATGGGCTAATTCTCCTAGAATATCCGAAGACGGGAGTAGCATGGAAGAATTTCTTCAAGAGGTTAAGGGAAGACTAAAATTTGAATTGCAAGAGAAGAGTTTCCGAAAAACCATTGAGAAGCCATCAGATGCAAAGATAATAGCTCAATGCATTGCAAAACAGGCGCGAGAGAGTGTTACTAGGGACGTTGGAACAACTCACCACCGATCAAAATCAATGCAGTCCGATAGAAGTGAAATCCAACGCGACGAGGCTAGCTCACCTGAATTCACTAAAAGAGACACGAGAAGAATTTTGACCGAACGGTTGAGGAATGTCCTGAGTGACGAATCATCTCATGATATCGACAAACATGATCGTGTAAGCTCTACATCAGTAGCACAGCATAGGGAAAAGAGCAAATCTGAAGAAATGAGATATGCTCCGAATGAAGTGTGCCACGGGGACGATATGAAAGATGAATCAGACAGGCAGTGCAGATACTCCAGGCAGGAGCTCAGTAATGATGTTATGCTAGACCAGAAACTATTTCATAGAAACCTGGTTAGATCTTTGTCAGCTCCTGTATCACGATCATCATTTGGAAAACTTCTCCTGGAGGATCAAGATATGTTAACGGGGGCTCATATTAGGAGACAGCATGAAGCTATCGAGGAGGTCACAGTGAACGTTAAGAAATGGCGAAAAGAGAAATTCAATCTTAAGGCAAAAGTTTCCAGCTTTAAGCATAGTTTTGTACTTAAAGGAAAGCTCTTTGGTAGAAAAATCCAATCTTTGGAGGAATCACATGGAAACAAACAAATGCACATGAAAGATCTTCAGAACACACAAACTGTTGCATCCAAATTTTATGTGAGACAAGTAAGAAGCTTCAACTGTCCTTTTTCTTTTCGACTACTGAAAATTTTGTAATAATGGTCAAAAATAAACCTGAAGTATCATGTGTGTTTGTGAGTTTCCTACCTGAACTATCACGTGTTCACTTTTCCTACCTCAACTATCAGTTGTTCACTTTCGTAAAAAAAATGTTTTTATGTTGATATGTTATTGATATATAACTTTAGTATCTTATTTGGTCCTAGGAGAATTCTACTGAGGTGCCACCAAGCCCTGCATCTGTATGTAGCACAAGCAATGAAGAATTTTGGAGGCAAACAGATAACTTCAGTCCATCATCATCATCAATTTCAGATGTAAATCCACTGGATGATACTGAGATACCTCATGTTTTCAAAGAGATCAGCTCTAATCTGAACGGTACGAGTAAAAACTTATGTTAACTTTAGTTGCATTTGTAGTTTAGGCGCGGTTACAATGTGATGTGAGATGAACTTAAGAGTTTGAATCTTGTCATAACATGAAAGTTTAACTACTCCCTCCGATTTCAATATGTTGGTCTGATTTTGACTTGACACGGAGTTTAAGAAAGTATAAAAAGACTTTTGAATTTTGAAACTTTTGATGATGCAGAGCTAAGGAGGCAATTGAATCAGCTAGAAACTTATGACTCTGAGGAGACAATGATCGTCGAGCAGCCTATTGAAAAGGAGATCGTTATGGAGATTGACGATCCAGCTGAAGCATTCGTTAGAGATCTTCTTGTTGCTTCTGGTTTATACGATGGTTCATGTGATAAATATCTATCAAAATGGGATCCTCTTGGAAAGTCCATCAGCAACCATGTCTTTGAAGAAGCCGAAGAGTCTTACAAGAGGCAAAAGATAAACGATTACGATGAAGGATCAAGCAATGATCATCAATCCAAGAAGTTGAATCACAAGTTATCATGTGATTTCTTGAATGAAGTGCTTCCAAGTGTACTCGGAAGCAGTTCTATGAGAAGGACTATTAGTCCTACTCCACGAGCTCCGCGGGGAAATAAGCTATTAGAATGTGTATGGGAAATTGCTCGAATTTCATCAGATATGTCATCTCAATCCCTCGAAACCATACTAGCCCGAGACTTGCAATGCACGCGTTGGGACAGACTAGTTGATGAAGATGTTAATGCTCTAGGAAAAGATGTTGAATACCAGATTGTTGGTGATCTTATTCATGAAATGATCAATGATATGCAACCATAAATATGTTCTATCTCCCTCTTGTATATATGATCAATGATATGTAATCATAAACTAGTTTATAACTTGTTTTCCTATTCACATTGCACTTTTGAAGTTGTACAAGTATATTTAAGCATGAATATTATTCCAAATAGGCATAACACATAAATATGTCATTTAATTCCGGTCTTAGTTGTCATCTGAGCCCTTTAACTTTGGGTATGAACAAGTAGACGCTTAAACATGTAAAAAGTTGAACAAGCAGATATATGTGTCATATGTGACGTTATACACGTAAGACGCTATTGCCACATAGGATGTCAAGTAAGATGAGTGTGTTAACTTTTTCATCTGTATATACATGAGTGTCTATTTGTGCAGACCCAAAGTTGAAGAGCATTACTGTCAGATAAAACCAAGTTAAAGGGCACGTTATGTATTATACCCTGACAGATTTGACATAAATATGCCCTTTAATTTGGCCGGTATCTATGTCTCAAACTTTGGGTATACATAAGTAGAAATTTAAGTTTGTGATAAACTTAAACAAGTAGACACACACGTCTTACATGACATAATACAAATCAGTTCAATGTATCTCACGCAAACCGTCTGCAATATTATTTCCTTGTGCAAATTTAACCAACAATGATTTAGTGTTGGTTAAATAGATGTAGCAAAATCTGAAAATTTCTTTCAAACTTAATCTATTCAATTAATTGGAGTAGAAAGTGTTTGTAGCATAAATAAAATCATCATCATATACCTAATTTATGGTCCACATAAGTTGGGGAAAATATATATATGAGGATTAGTTAAAAAGAGATATTGATAACCACAAAAAAATATAGTAAATAGTTTAATATATATTCTTTTGCAATATGATTCTTTTTACAAATAAGAGTTGGTGATTTTGTCAATTCTATATAAAGTTTAGCATTACGTTTATCCAGTATTTGGTTATTAATATTTGGTTCATTCTATATATGAAAAAAAAGAAAAGAAAGTGAAAAACAATTACTAATTCAATCTTCTTTTTGTTATAAACTTTATTTGAAGTGAGATATGTACAATTTTTTAAGAGTAAATTTAGGTTTAACAAACATAAAAATTATATTTGTATGTTATAACTACAATAATTTGTATAATTGCAATATTTGTATAAATTATTGGCAGGAGCATCAGATTTTGTATAAATTGTTGGTAGGCCTCTCGTTTATATAAAAGTAACTTATATTTGTATAATTATAAATATATAGGATGAAAATATATGTATTGATATTTGTATATATAATTTTTCTCGCTTTATTAAAAAACAAACATAATTAATATATTTGTGTTTGTATTAATTGAGAGAGGCGAGGGAGATTCTCTGGAGAGAGAGACGAATGAAAAGATATGCATATATGAAGTTTTCTGTCGTTTTATACAAACACAAACATAATTTATCCATTTTTGTTTGTATAATGTGAAAGAGACGAGAGAGATGGCCGAGTGAGATCAGGAGAATGGCGACGAGAAATCTGGGGAGAGAAACGAATGACAAAGTGTTTGTTACAGATAACAATTAAATGAAACTATAGCTATCATATTTAATTTTAATTAATAATTTCTTATTTTGTACAATTTTTTCTTTTTAAAAAGATTAGGTCGTAGGTGCAAGTAAAAAATCAATAAACTTTAGGTCATCGATTCTACGTGTATTATGTTATCATGCGATATGTATCTACTCATTTAATTTTATACAAATTTAACTATTTATTTAGCACTCCAAAGTTAGAAGACTGAATGTCATACACAATAAATAAATATGACATTTAACTTCGTATCATTTCACATTTATGCCCTCAACTTGAGCATGCACAAATCAATACTTAAATTTGTATAAAATTGAATAAATAGATACACACGTACTACGTGACATCCTACATGACAATTTGTGTCTACGTGTATACATATGACTCATGTGTCTACTTGTTCAATTTTATACAATGTTAAGTGTCTACTTATGCACACCCAAAGTTGAAGGACGTAAATGTGAAATAAAGTTAAGTTAAAAAACATATTTATATATTATGTTTAGATATTAGATAAAATCAAAATTAAAAAGACGTATTTATAATTTATGTATTATGTTATTTAAATAAGTAAATAACAATTTCATCATAGTTTAGGTATGGAGTAAATTTGATCTTCTTCATATTTGTAACCCTTCCCTTTTCTCTAAAAACCCTAATTTCAACTTTTTTTTTTGTATCCTCTAAGATGACAAGATCAGGTATGTTTTTCTCCTTTTATGATTCTCACATTGCATTAAAATTTTGGCTATTTTTTATATATTCAAATAACTATGAACACACATATTTAAGGAGCTATAAACACAATTTAAAATTTTTACAGTCCCTTTAAATCAAGATGCTAAATTTTTGTGTTTTTAGGTCTTGGAATGTTAAAAGATGGTACACTGACCTGAGTTTGAATGATTCTTGATCTTTTTTCTCTGTATATTTGGGGTTTCATTGAATTTGTACTTGTGTTGTTTGATTTTGATTCAATTTGGTAAGTGGTTGTGTTTAATGTGTTTCTAGGGCAAGATTCTGTAAAATCTGATGTGGGTTTTGGAAATAAAAATCAGAAATGTAAATTTTGTGATCAATGAACTAATTTGACAATCATGAGGTCTTACGTTAAAATTCAAATCCAACCGTAGCAAAGACAGTAAAAAAAGGAAAACATTAGGTGATTTATTCTAATATGTTTTAGCTTTGGTGGAGTCGTGGAGAGAGTTATAGACTTGTAGTTGTTGCTGGTGTGAGGTGACAGATATAGAATTAGTGGAGGTGTAGCCCGAACACCACGATTATAAAACAAAAAGAAATGTGAAATTGAGTTGTTCAATAGCCTGTTTGATGAATCTTCTGTGAAGCCAAAAGTGTTTATTTAAAGTTGAGGCGTTTAGTGAAATTTTTAGGGAAAAAATTAAGTGTTTTTGATTAGTAGCGGAACCAAAAAATTGTAACTTACTCAGAAGCACTTTCCGAACATTGACCAAGCACAAGTTACTTCTTTGATATTGGTAAAAAGTGTTTTTCATAATTGATTAGCTAAACATGAATTGTTATTCTCTGAAAAGCACTTCTCGCGGAAAAAAGCACATAATTTTCGTAAAGTTTGTCTAAAGAGATGATTAGTCATATACTTCATGCTAAAGGTATGATCTTTACTGTTCTTTGTAGTTTTAAGGGATTGTTGAAGCAATAAGCTTATGTGTAGATGTAAAGAAAAAGATGGAAGGAAATACATGTGACATCAATCACTTGGATTCAGATGTGCTTTTGCCTCCGCGAAAACGGCTTCTAGTAGGACTGAAAAAACAGAATTTCGATGATAATCCATGTAGTCCATCCTCTTCTACTGATGATGTTACAGAATTTGAGTTCGATATGCGTCTTAATAACCTGTTGAAGTTTCACTCGGATGATTGTAATCGTTCCATCGAGGAGATTGTCGAGGCCTCAAAAGTGGCAGCTCTAAAAGCTGTTGAGCTTGCAAAAGCTGCAAGAGCTGTTGCTGAAGAGAAAGCTGTGAAAGCATCAGAGGCCATGGCTGCTGCTAAGAGTGCTATGGAATTGGTTGCTACTGTTTCTGGTGAGGTTACAGATAGAGACAAGTACTCGAAGAAGAAGAAGAAGAAGAATAAGTATAAAGGGACCGAGAATTGTACAACGGATGAAGAGTTAGCTCGGATGTTAAGTAGGACAATAAACAGCTCTCCAAGAATTTCGAAGAACTCAACCTCTAACTTAAGAAATCAAAAACATAAGAGGCTTAAAAGATCTTCTCTTTCCGAAAATGCTAAGCATCAGAATGGAAGAACGTCGTGGGAAGCAAATCGACCTTCCACAAGCAATGGGATTGATATTGCTGGAAATAAGGCATCAAATGGTCCTAGCAAGGAGAAAGAACTCATTAGAATAGACTCAAGCGTAGCGAAATTCAATAAGGCAGATCTCAGAAAGATGGAAAATGGCAAAGGAGAACCAATGAACTCAAAGGAGGAATTCGGGGAATCACCAAATGATATATGTAACGTTGACAAAAAGAAGGGGCGGATGAAACAGAAAATGTTACCCCTCAGTAATTGCAGTCTCAGGGATAAAGTGAACCCAAAAAGGACATGAATTTCAAAAAATTCATCGTCACCGGATAAGAAGATCAACAAAGTTACTGCTGCTATTAATGAGCCTATATTTCCAGTTGATAGGTCATCTACATTGAAGTGCCAAACTTTTAGGCATCCACTCGCGTTAAACAATAAGTTGATGCAATCACAGTCTTCGTATTTTAGTATCAAGTGAGGTGGCTACCATGATGGGACTTATAGTCCGAGGTAGTCTCTTTCGTGTTTTTTCTTGCTTACTTCTTTTTATACATATATCGCCTCTTCCAGCCCAATTAACGTTTATACATTGATTTTTCACTGCTTGCATAGTTGTTTTGCACATAATATGTTTCCTATGTTGCTTCAGCAAGTGGCTCCTGAATGCCTCAATTAGTTCTGCCTTTCTGAGGTCGTTCACATTACCTGTCCCAAGTCTGGGTAAAGGAGGAGGGTTGCCAAGGGTCAATCGAAAACAACCTCTCTACCCCATAAAGGTAGGGGTAAGGCTGCTAGCATCTTACCCTCCCTAGACCCCACTTGTGTGATTAGACGGGCTCCTAAATGCCTCAATTACAGATGTACAATATGTTACTTCGTGGATCAACTTAATGCCTCGTGAGATTCTATCTCTATCTATTCTTGGCAACCAAATGTTTCTTGCTATGAAAGATTGTTCATCCATCATCGTGATTACGTAGTTCTTGTTTCATGTTTTAGGTTTGATAGACTCGTCTTCTCCTTTACCATCGAGTTTTTTGCTCTACAGATTAGATGAGACTAAGATTTTGATTTCCATTGTGTTGACAGGTTTTTGTTAGCTTCTGGAGTTTCATTTCCAGGTACTTTTTGTTAGCAGGAGATGTCTGGAGTCATTGTCATTATTATTAACATTAGAAGTGTGACATTTGTTGTTAAAGGAAACTAATTTATATCTCTTCCTTCCATTAATCTCAATGTGTAAGATTATTTCTGATGTAGATATATCAATCCATTGTAAGCATGATATTTTTTTTTTTTGAATTAATAATTCAATCTCTTCAGAGTTTGTGTACTTGAAACAATGCACTGAGCAACTTATAATATAATCATAAAATTGCATGATTTGTCTTTCAAATGAGTTGGTCTTTTTAACTTTTGTCTTGTAGCAATCGAACTTATGGCTATTAGGGCAAATGAAATGGTTAAAAGTGCAAATGACTAATGCAAGTGGCTAAAATGAATGTGACCGCAAATCTATTTTTGTAAAACTTGTTTAAATGGGGTCAAAAGTTAAACTGTGGCACTCAAAGATCATATATGTGTAAATCAAGGCCACAAATAGCCACTTTTATGGTTGTTACTTAATGGAGCCAACTTTCACGTATAACAAACATAAAGATTATATTTGTATATTATAGTTATAATTTGCATAATTGCGCTCCATAGTAAATTTTATGTTTGCTATAGTTATTTCGCTGTACATATATATAAAAGAAGCTGACTATTTCACTATACACATATACAAAAGAAGCAATTGTATAATCTGTTTTGATATACATATACAAAAGAATCAATTGTATAATTTGTGTTTGTATTAAAGCGAGAAAAAGGGAAAGACAAATGAAAACTGGGCGGGGAAGATCGTATTTGTATAATCATAAGTGTATAGGACGAAAATATATTCATTTGTATATGTATAAATAATTTTTTCTCACTTTATACAAACACAATGTATACTTTTGTGTTTGAATATAGCGAGAGAGACGAGTGGGAGTGGCGAGCGAGATCTGGGAAAGGGGAACGAAAATATATGTATATATACAATTTTTTCTCGCTTTATACAAACACAAACACATTTTATACATTTGTATTTGTATAAAAGTGAGAGAAGAAACAAGAACGAGAGTGACGAGCAAGAATCCACCAGGGAGAAAGGCGAAAATAGCAGCAGTTTGCTATGGGGATACAATTAAATCAAACTATGTTTATAACATTTAATTTGAATTAATAGTTTGCTATTATATACAATTTCCCCTTAATGATACGCATTCTTGCTCGGGACTTATATTCACATAGGTCATTCATAAGAACAAGACGTCCAACTTCCTAATACAAAAGTAATCGAGAGAGCTCATTATATACAATTTTCCCTTAATGATATTCATTCTTGCTCGAGGCTTATATTCAAACAGGTCATTCATAAGAATAAGACGTCCAACTTCCTAATACAGGAGTAATCGAAAGAGCTCATTATATCAGTGCCTACGAGGACGAGTACTTCTGTTTCAACGCCATTGATGAATTACAGGGTTGGAAGGATGATTGAACTTTGAAGAACTAGGTCTTTGCTATAGGGAGGAGTAAAGAAGAAGCACAGAAGAAGGCTCAGAAACTAAAATTTTGCATTGTCAATTCTGGCTATATTTTAAATAGTACACCATTAAAAGTGGTTACCTCATGTCATGTTTTACATGACATGTTATTGTAGCCAACATCATCAATGTTGGCATTCTAGTAAGTATATGTTCTAAATTCCTTATATGATTTTAAACAATTCTCGACAAGTTGATTTTGGAGTTAACTTAGACCTAATGAGCGTTCTCTTTACATGATAGTTAGCAACAGATGATTCTTATTTTGGAGTGAATAAGAACGATAATAACTATGTCTCAATTCGAGATAAGTTAAAATCAACCATATGAATTTTCAATGTGTAAGAGTCAAAACTTCATTGAGGCAGAAGAACCCTAATGAGCGGAAATCAGCAAAATTCGGTACGAACTTCACTATAACAACAATTACAGATCAATGTTAAGCAAGTCGAGGTACTATGTCTTAATCTCAAACAAGTTGTATTACAAGAGTCGCAACTTAAATTAAAAATAAATAAACACATTTAGGACAAATCTCAAAACATAATATAGTATTATTATATATAAATAGTACTAAGAAGAGAACCAAATGGCCATTTGAGCAAATTATGACCATTTGCAATGAATACTAAGTGGACATGATCATGTCCCTCACACAACCTCCACAGTTGTACCAAACCTATGATTAATGGCCATAGATGGAAGAAAATTTACAAATGTAGGAAGGATGAAAAACAAACGAACAACCATAATGCACGATAAGCAACAACAATAATATTATATCCACCGCGGGGATTTGGTGTATGCAGACCTTATCCCTACCTAGTGAAAGTAAGACTGTTTTCGAATGAGGGATGCAACAGGACATCCGAGGATCAGCCATCCTAGTATACTCTCGCCCAAACACGCTTAACTTTGGAGGTCTGATGGATATACAAGATAAACATCTCTTGAACTTGTACATTAAAAAGGAAGACAAACAATTTATTCCTTGGCTCCAAAAAGTATCTCCAGCAATGAAGAGTAGGTTCCATAGACTGAAAAAACAGCAGCCACTACAATAATTGCACCATCACAAGCCAAACCATGCCATCTTAGCTCATCTTTGAACACAATCAGATGAAACAAGGCAGGCAACACAAAGCCAAGAATTATGCACACACTACTCCCAACCAATGACAAGAAATCAGCAAAATTTGGCACAAACAATGCCACAAACGTCACTACCAAAACCATAATCCATCTTATCCAAACACAGTAACTCCCTTCACAAAACCTCCTTTCCACTACTTCGTAAACTGGATTCATCATCAGAGGGAAAGTAAAGAACAAGTTTATGCAAAGACCAATTTGAACTAGGCTGCTAAGTAATCCTTGTCCAAGATTCGTCGTAATTATATCCTTTGTATCTTCACCAAAAGCAAAATATCCCAATACACCAAAAGCACCATACAATAGAGATATCAAAGCCATTGAAAAACCCAAGATTTTCCCAAATTTTGCCTTATCTTTTGTCTCAGCTTCCAAAGGCAATACCATTCCAACACCTTCAAAAGCATAAACAGCAACACCAAGACCATAGAAAAACACACTAAATCCACCAAAAGTTTCAAGAACATGACTACTCTTCACATAAATCATCACATCTTTAACCATCACAACCCCCATAGCTCCTAATTCAACAACATCAGCAAAAATACTCAAAGGGGCTAACAGGGTAAGAGTAGGAATTGAATTCAACCCCAACTGAAAAGGAAAACAGCTCCAAATATACACAGCTTTAGGTGGAAAGCCAAAGACTTTAGGATTTGGATTAGTTTTGGAGTAGTTAAAACAATATGCTAAAGTATTTGCTATGAAAATCAGGTAACTAATACAAAAACCAGCTTGTGACAGAACAATCATAACATCAACAGCAGACCTACCAATAGGTCCACAAACAGCAAACCCCAAATCACCAAAAGATGAAATTTGTGAAATCTTGAGATGGGATTCAATCTTTCTTCTAGAATATACAAGAAGCATCATACAATGGTAAGTTAAAAATGCAACTGTAAATAACATAAGAGCACCCATTACCCATCCTGTTCTCTTGAATGTATATGGAAGTCCAAGAACCCCTGCTCCAACTATGGCTATGAATACATTAGCAAAAGTCTTTGAAGGTGAAGAAAGATGCTGATGATTCTTGGATAACAATGGTGTATCTTCTCTTGGGATTTGTAAAACATGAGAGGATGAACTTGCTTTATCTTTTTCAAACCCCATATGGATACTATGTTCAAAAAATCAAGAATCAACAAAACAGAACCAAAAATCACAATTTTAAAGGCAAAAATTAGATAAAAATCAAATCTTTACTTCAAGATTACTTCAAATTTGAGGAAAAAATTGGAATTGCTTGTAGGGTTTTGAATTTTTTTTTGTAAATTCAGGAGATTAGAGAGAAAATGAAGGTTTTTTATGGAAAACCTGGGGTTGTTGGTGAGCTGTAGGCTATCTTATCAACAGGGAAAGTAAATTTTGAAGTAAACTTTTCAAAAAAGGACAAAAACTTGGGGACAATAAGTTATGTGAAATAAAAATAAGTTTTTGGAAAATATTTTAAAATTAATTTTGCTTACATTTTAAAAAATGTGTTTATCATGAAGGTAGGAATTCAATTTGAAGTCGAATTCTAAAATTTTCAAAAATTTAAAAAATAAAAATATTTTTCATTTTTTTATTTTAAATTATTCGAAAGTGAATTTAATTTGTACTCGTAATCATATATGAGTTTATTTTTAAATATTATTTTTCACTCAATTTTTTTTTAAAATTCTATAATAAAACATGATTATACGTTTACTAAAATAAATTCAAAAGATATTCAAAACCTAAAATATTTTTTACTTTATTTTATGTCGCTTTCCAAATGACCCATAAGATACATTGTTATTTTCGATTCTTTTGTATAGAAATAAAAAGTTTGAATACGTCTCTTTTTCTTTTTCTTTTTCTTTTTTTAGATATTTGTTTGAATAAAGAAATATCCAGAAAATATCGATGGTACACGTATCTTATTTTATAAATTAAAAAAAAATGTTTTCAAAAAAAAAAAATTACTCTTTTTGTTTTATGGCTGATAAGGAAGGAAAATATATTAATGTCTTTGATAACTAAAGTTATCAATAACTTATCCATTTGCAAATAATGTCTGCCAACTAAATTTATTTATTTATTTAAGATTCAAATTTAGCAATAAAAAAATATTCTATTAAAAAGTGTCTCATCCATTAGTGTATTTATGTATATATGAAATTAATTCATATGACACTTGTTAACTTTTAGTGAAATTAAAAATGCGATAGGTATTCTACCTAACAATACCTAATCAATCTCATTTTGTCCATGTAATATATATATATATATAACATGACATGTTTATGGTATATACCGTATTGATATCATAAAAACTGATAATATCGCTTAACTAATAATAAATCAATATATATATATATTGTATTGATATTATTAACATCTTTTATTAAAAAATTATTCATTAGTTAATGATACTGTAAGAATGTCATGTGTCATATTAAAACAGGATGGATGAAATAGAGACTCATATCAGTGTTTTGTATTGCAAGAATATGTCACTAAACTGACTTAAAAGATGAGTTCTACAAGAGATAAGAATGTTGAGATAGATTTATAGACATATCATGTGAGATAAGATTAGGAATAAAGATATTCGAATTAAGATAGGAG